GAAGAAGCCCAAGGATGTACACTTAAATTTAAGGCCCAAGGAAAGGCTTGCAGGAGATATAGTTCCTGAGCTGATGCCCAAAAAGTAAGTGAGATAATCAGCAAGGAGGTCGCCTATTTCAGGCAGTGCAAAATCCTGGAGGGGAACATAAAATGTGTTTAAACATCTGCAAACTTTTCAGTCAGGATGGAGTCGGGGGTGGGGAGACGCAGCAGAAGCGCCGATGTCTGGTCGCGAAGGAATTTAACAGCCTTTATCTTTATCTTACAGGTAATGGGGAATCCATGAAATATTTTAAACAGGATAGTAACATGAAGAGATTAACCCTTTTGAAAGAGAACGAGAATGAGAATGTATTTGTGTTCCATTGCTATATAACAAATGACTACAAAGCTGCCTAAAAAACACCCCTTGCCTAGCCAAACTGACAGTAAAATTAACCGCTTGCAACTACCTATTACCCCCAAAGGATCTGAGAACTGGCACTGCTGAAATCATTATTCCTCGGGGGAGGGCTAAAATTACCATATTTGCCACAAATTTTGAACCTAAGTCTAAAATCAAGCCTTTAGATCTCATACGGAGGATAAAGGGAAAAAGAAAACAATACCACAAGAAGGCAGTGCGTCACATCCAGAACGTGCGACGTTCTACGGGACGGCTGGCCAGGCTTCTTCAACTAGTTACGAAAAGAGGAGTGGAGGAACGTTCTAGATTAAAAGTGACTTAAGAGGCGTAAAAACCAGAGGCAATGTATGAATCCTGCTTGAATAATTACTTGGACAAACCAGCTGTACATTTGAATACAGACTGGTTATTAGGAGTTAGTAAGGAGTCTTTGATGACTTTGTTAGGTGTCACAGTGGTGGAAAAATAGAATGATTATGTTTGACCTGAAAAGAGACTTTTTGTCACGGGGAGGAGAGTCAACAGTCACAGGGGCCGACTTTATTTCCCAAGATCAAACTGAGGTTCGATCTCCTGCGCCTCTCACCCTTCCTCCGGAAGGAATGCGTCACTCTCTCTCTTGGATCCTCTATCTGGTACCTTACACACATGGGTGCATGTGTTTCCTTTTCTAAATAGTGAACTCCTTGAGGACAAAGACTCTGCTTTAATCTTCCATGCCTAGGATGTAGTAGATGCTACAAACACTGATAAACCCTAGGATGAATGTTCCCCAAACCCCTAAGTCAAAGGTAAGAATTTACTCTATTTCATGGTTGTTACATTTTAACATCATAAAATAGAAGAGTAGGGCATTTCTGAACCATAAAGAAACCTATCAAAATTAAATAAGGAATATATCAGCCCGTGTTCTTTTTTATGTGGTTGGGCTGGCAAATATTGGATTTGGGTTGTTCAGTGCCTGCCTCAGAATTAATTGTGTCAGTTGAAGTGATGCTAGCTGCTGTAACAGATAAGCCCCCAAATCTCAACAGCTTAACACATTGCTGTTTCTCACTTATATGAAGTCCAAGCAGGAGCCCCCCTATCAAGGGAGGGCAAGTGGTGGGGTGGGGGTAAAGGCTCTGTTCCATACAGCCATTCACATTCTCGCTGATGGTGGCTTTCAGTCACCCTCCCTGATTACGGACATCTAGTTAGTAAATTGGAGTAAGAGGAGCTCTTGACATTCGAGGGGTGGGAACCAGCCACTCAGCCTCATTTCAATGCAAAGAAGCTGGAATGTGGTCCCCAGTGGGCAGGGACTTCCTGACAACAATTCTACAAGAACAAAACTCCTTGGTGGCCAGTTAAGTTTGTCTCTTCCACAGGTTGTTCTCTTAAATGTTTTGACATTTACACAAAAGAAACATTATAATGCCTAATTTTGTTATTTCATCCCTCATAAAATAGAAGAAATAATAAGGGTCTAGTGAAGAATCTGGGGCTAGTAGCTATAGGGAACTTGGCTGCAACGCTTGAGTAAATATGTTGTTACTCCCAGTTCAGAACATCTCATGAAACCCGAGTAATTCACAAGGGGACTTCTTCATGTTGTAGAAGGTAACTGTAGAGAAATGTCACAAAAACTTTACAAAACTTAAAGAAGATGATAAAAATAATTCCGAAAAAGCCCATTGGTTTAAGACAAATCTCATCTAGAGATGAAATAGCTCGGATGAGTGTTGAGTTCCTTCTCTGGTATACGTTTAACTCAGGTGTGAAGCCTATGGTTTCAAAGTGCTACGTCACTGGAAGGGTGTGGTCTCCAACATGGGAAAGCCAACGTTCTCCTCTGTAGATGTAGAAATGCCACTGAAGGCTTTGAGTCCACGTCTAATCTGTACTTCAGCTCAAATATCCTGGGCTGCAAAACCACACGTCCAACTGCTTATTCAACATCTCCAGAGACATTCCTCAGGCCCCTCAAGTTCAGCAGCCAACTAAGCTCAACATTTTTTCTAATTCTGCTTTTCCACAAATAGTCTGTAACTCGATTGTACAAAGTTTAGCCTGGTGTTCTCTCACCTCAGTGGTTCTCAGCCTGGGGTGATTTTGCTCCCAGGGGATATCTGGCAACGTTCAGACATTTTCAGTTGTCACAACCGGGGGAAGGGATGCTAGTGGCGTCTAAAGGGTAGAGACTAGGAATGTTAACTAAATACCTTACAATGCACAGGACAGTCCCTCCTGCCCCCAGTGAAGAATTATCTAGTTCAAAATGTCAACAGGGCCGACAGTGCTGAGATAGAGATATCTTGTCCTAGTCCATGTCCTGTAGGTTCTACTGCCTCTGTAACTTTCAAATCTCTTCAGTCCCATTCCCACTGCCATGTTACAGTCCTTCATCACATCTCCCATGGAATACAAGAGGATCCTAACCCATTTTCTTGCCACCCAATCCTGTTGCTCCTTTGGAAGGACATGTCCTCCCCCATCTTGCAAAGTATGTCATCTTTAAGGTTCCCAAATATTAACCCTTATGTGAACCTTCCTGTGTGACCTACTCTCCCTCCTTCCCCTCCAGTCTCAGTTGGAGACCCTCTGTCTGTAGACATACCACCACTTGTTTCCCAAACTGGACCGAAGTGACCTGTGAGAAGGAACCTTTATATCCAGCCTCCATGAGTAATTAACACAGCACAGTTGAAGTGACGTAACAATGTACACTCTCACTGGCACTTCTCGTGATCAGAACTAGAAGGTAACAAGGCTGGGCTGGGTTGGGTAGCAGGCAGGGTGGACACTGTGGTCAGAGTGGCCTACTACGTTGAATTGGTCTATGTGCCTAGTTACAGAATTTGGCTGCTGGTCTCATTATTGCTCCATAGAGCCCCTGGAGCTAACCTGCTCTCATGGTGTGTTTGATGTGTTTCACTGTGAAATACTCTAGTGTCTTATGGACTTAATTTCTCCAGGTTTCAAGAGCTATTAATATGGAGAAAGAAAATGAAAGAGGCCAGACTACTACAGAGAGAAAAAGCCAAGGTCCGATAAAAAGTTCCAAGCAGTATACTGGCTTTGGCATTATTTTGATGCATATGAAAGACTAGTGAAAGTGCTTCTTTAAAAAAAAGTTCAGGGGCGTCTGGGTGGCTCAGGCAGTTGGCCGTCCGACTCTTGATTTCGGCTGAGGTCGTGCTCTCAGGTCCTGAGATCAAGCAAGCCCCATGTCGGGCTCTGCGCTCAGCATGGAGTCTGCTTGTCCCCCTTCCTCTGCTCCTCCCCCGACTCATGATCTGCACACGCTCTCTCTCTCTCAAATAAATACATAAAATTTTCCTTAAAAAGTTCAAATATTTTCCCTTGTAACATTTTCAAGGCCACTGATGAATCCAGCAGTCCTTCCCTTCCAGTCCTGCTATCTGTAGGGGGGAGGAGCACGGCCCTTCCCTTCCAGTCCTGCTATCTGTAGGGGGAGGAGCACGACCCTTCCCTTCCAGTCCTGCTATCTGTAGGGGGAGGAGCACGACCCTTCCCTTCCAGTCCTGCTATCTGTAGGGGGAGGAGCACGGCCCTTCCCTTCCAGTCGTGCTATCTGTAGGGGGAGGAGCACGGCCCTTCCCTTCCAGTCGTGCTATCTGTAGGGGGAGGAGCACGGCCCTTCCCTTCCAGTCGTGCTATCTGTAGGGAGGAGGAGCACGGCCCTTCCCTTCCAGTCCTGCTATCTGTAGGGGGAGGAGCATGGCAACCTTTTCCTACAGGTACTATCTTACCTTTATGATTAACAATTTAAGAACCCTAGAGAGGTCTTCTCTCACTCCTCTCTCTAATACATGTGTGTACACGTGTGCAGCATTATTTATTGCTTACAACCTATACATCTTTCATTAGTCAATAAATTCCAGTGCATCCACAACTGGTATTTAGGATACGCATTAATATGCAGCCATCAATTAAATGTAAGTATGAATTCAACACTGAGAGATATGCATGATGTATGAGTTAATAAAAAAGGATATGGAAACCGTATGTATGGTACCTAATTGTTAAGGCACACTTGAGTGCATGTATGTGCATGTGTCTATACACAGAAGGTCTGACAGTATACAAAAGCTCCGGGCGATGGAATCATGGGTGATTTCTTTTTCTGCCTATGCTTTCTACCTTCTCCACAGTGTTTCCAAAGTAGCGTGTTTCTTTCTCCTGCTAATAAAAGGAATATATTCTCCAAATTTTCAATCATGCATATGTACCATGTAATAGTCACATAAATAAGAAACCTTCCAAATACCTGCAAGGCTCATTCCGTCTCCTGCTTCAGATCTTAACTCAAACGATACCCTTTCAGGGGGATCTCCTGAACCACTTGACTGAAAACTGCACCCATCCCACCTCCCTGCCTTATTTTTGGCCATCATCTACACCACCATGTGCCATATGTTTTACTTCCTTGTCTAACTGAGTTCATTCCTCTACTAGCACATTAGCTCCCTGAGGGCACGGGGTTTTATTTTGTTCACTGCTGTAGCCCCAGAGCCTAGAACGATGCCCGATACACAGAGGGTACTCACTATATATTTGCTAAAATAATGAATGAAAACACATTTGTTTTTAAAAAAGAGGTTTTGCCTTTATTAATAAGAAACAAGTGATATTCAGTTTAAAATAACATTTTTTAAAAATGTCATCTTTTAATGTAATGTTAGCCCTTTACTGCAGGGACCACTTGAAGCTGGTGAAAGCTATGGAGACTCCTCATCCTGCTCCCCACCCGCTCCCAACCTTCCCCCCACCATCCCCACACACATAAAATCAAATACAATTTCAGGAGGTTCTGAGACTTCCAAGTCTGTCTATAAACTTCTTAAAGCGTCCACTGACCCCAGGGTTAGAGTATCTGATTTAAAGTGTCATCTGGCTTAGAATCATGATTTCTCCCCCTATTCTAACGATTCAAAGAATATATGTGACTCAAATATGTCTTTCCCCACTCCCACTAGCCAGTTAAACATTAAAGGGATCCCTTCTTCAAAGGATTCACTGCTTAGCGAGGGGTAAGTTCAGTGTTTGCAGTTGAGAAGACGATAAACATCCAGATGAAAGCTGAAAAATCTAGTTAATAATCCAGAGATTTCCAAAAGTACAGATGTTAATAGAGTGTCGCCCAAATATCTGGTGAGGTGAATTTTTCACTTGTCAGCTGAAGTCTTGTGTCACACCATCTCAGACAGAAAAATAGGATCTATTCCACGTAGAAGATGCTTTTTTAATTTTATTGTTTAAAGAACAAAATAAAAGGGAGTATGCACATCCACCAAAGTGAAGTTTTCCATTAAATAGAAGAGAAAGCAAACACTTTGTAATAAAGACCATCCAGCTAAAAACAGCATATTAGATCGGTAAAACAACAATAGCGATGTGACTTTGCGTTTTATTTCAACAGGCACACTTCATTCATTGTCTGTAGGAAAACTAGGCTAGATCTCGATGGGCAACAGTCACAGTTATTAAGCAAGTAAATACGCCACCACTTCCGTGCCCTCCTTTATTTCTTTATGTCTTCAGTCTCATCTGGCTCCTTCTCTTGATGCTCTCTTTCCCACCTCATTTCTTTTAACTCTTGTCTGTACTTCCGTTCAATGAACCGCTTCTGATGGGCCATCTGGGGAAAGTTATCTGACACGAGGAGATACATTTTATACTCAATAAAGGGTAGCCTCTGGTGCAAAGAACGATGCAAACTAAACACACACACATTCACAAGAAACAGCTGTATGTTCTAAGGCAAGAGGCAAACAACTGCTGGGTGTCTTCCCTCAGTCTTTTGTCATTCAAAAACCCACTGGTAGTCTGCACCAGCACCCTGATGTTAGACTGCGATTATCTGATGGGAACTTGAGTATTAAAAGGCACCAAAACACATAAGAATGTTAAAACACAGATGTGTGGTTTCAGAATGGTTCCAGGTAGGTAAGTGTTTTAACAGGGTTCTCCCCGTAAGAAGTGATTGTCAGGGAGAGATACAGAATGTAGTCCGATGGACTTGTGTATTTTTGCAAAGCTCAAACCAAAAACTCCAAACAAATAATGGTATTATCACACCATTAGTTCCAAAAGAATTAAAATTTCTGAAAAGAGGAAAAAGATTCGATGGACAGAAGCGTTAAGTCATTATTTCTGATCATTCTGTTTTTATAGTTTACCATGAGATACCCAGTGCTATGTCAGCAACAGCAACACAGGTAAAGTATTTTTATTTGGTTAAAGGAAACATGTCACTCAATGGTATAGTTTAAGCTACATTTAGGTTGATATTTGACCCTGTGCGAGAATGTTAGACACAGTGGAAATCTTGGTTAAGATCTAAACATTTTACGACTCAGTTGTCATTTGTGGCATATACCAAGTACAGAGACGGGGTAAGGAATCAAGGATGGAACAGTAACAAGAGTCATTTATACACTTAGTCATCAAGCACATACTTCAACAGCAAACGTCACAGAGGGATACATGCATGTATGAGAGCCACCCAAGTTACCTGGTAACACAGAGGGAAAAGGACACTCTTCTCCCTAACCAGGTTGTTATATACAAGAGTTCCTACTTCATATTTTAAAATATGAAGATTCAGAGATATGAGAGAGCATGGCATGTTTGGGGAAGAGCACGTTTGTTTTTTGTTAAGATTGAAGCATAATAAAAGTGGATATAAATATATAGCAAATTCCTAAATTATTCCCCCTCTTTTTATATAGTGTCCCATCCTCCCCCCAGGTGAGAGAAGGGACAGGAACAGGGTGGTAGGAAAAGCATCTGAGAGGCAGGCGGTGAATCAGTAAAGACCTTGTATATCTGAGTCACTGATTTTAAACAGAAGAGATACATAATGACATCCGTACAAATAAAACAGGAACAAAATCCTATTCCCTCAATGATATCAAGTTGACCTTACGTATTGTATAAAACAGAGGTTTCAAGTATTCTAGGTACTTTTTAAAAAAATAAATCAAATCCAAAACAGCTAGCTATAAAGCAAGTTTCTACAAAATGAACCCTACTTCCTCAGTAAATTCTATTCTAAAACCTAGTTTGCATTAAAAAAAAATCCCACCACTCAGATCTAACTACTGATAAACTTTTAGAATGTATCCTCATAGTTTCCTATGAAGTTATGCTACAGACACACACAGTATAAATGTGTATATACTATATGAACATAGGAATACTCAATCATTCCCGCACCCACCCTTACTTTGGGAGAGAACAGCATAGGTAGGTTTTTATGGGTACTTTTTAAAACATTCTAGTGTAAGTATTCTCCTGTATCATTAGTCTTCAAAAATACTGCTGTAATGATTGCAACATATTACAGCATTTGGATAAAGCAAGACTTGGTCAACTACTGCCCAACACCTGTTTTTGTAAATAAGGTTTTACTGGAACACAGACACACCCACTCATCTGCATACTATTCATTCCTGCCCGCTACATTGGCAGAGTTGACTAACTGAGACGGAGACTGCATGGGCCGCAAAGCTTAACATATTTACTATCTGGTCCTTTACAGAAAATGTTTGCCGACCCCTGGGTTATAGTATCATTTATTTAAGCATTTCCCTACTGTTAATCATGCAGTTTGATTTACTTATGTATTTTTTGGCTATTATAAATCAAGTTGTCATTATTATCATGGCATGTGAACTTGAGCTCATAACTCCTTAGGTTTGATTCCTAGAAATGAAGTCTCCGGATCAAAGAATATGGACTTCTTTAAGGACCAGATACACACCAAACTGCTTTCCAGCAGTTTAAACGATTCACTCCTGCCAGTAGGTATGTGGAGGTCAGTCTCCAAACAGGCCATCTCTCCAGGACTGTTTTATCATTAAAAAGCAAACAAAAAAAGCTTTGGACCCAAAGAGAACCTTTGCAATTTTACAGGTAGAAAATGGAATCTCACCTTCATTTCAGTATGTTCTTGTGCATTTGTAAATAATGAATGAAAAGATTCCCCAACAGAGTTAACTTAAAACTTTCAGTGAAGATTCCATGGACCCAGGAATCTGGAAATATCAGTTACCGCCCCCAATTTGTCCTCCCTCCCCCCACCCCAGGAAGCCACAGGTCTGCTGATTTCCACTTGGCTCCTGCCCTCTTGCCTTCCCTGGAGAGAATCCTGGGCCTCTTGACTTTTAGCTTCTCGCCCTTTGCTCCATCCCACAGTTAGCTGGTATGCGGAGCACAATGGGATTGCACTGTGATGTTTTGCTCAGACTCTGCTGTACAGCACAGCAGACCTCAGAAGAAAAATTCTTCAACTTACAAAAGACTATGCAGTTCCCTACCTGGCCAATTATGTAATTCAAGTGTTTTCCACCCAGCCATCCCACTCTTGGGACTCTATCCCACAGAACCAAAAGGACCAATATATAAACATTTACTGTCAACAGTGATTAAAAAAAAAAAACCAGGAAGAGTGTCCCCCAAAACTAAAGAAGCTGACTAGAATACGGCAAATCCACAGCATGAAATACTATGCAGCCATTAAGAAAGAATGAATTGGGGGCCGACAACAGAAAGATGCAGAAAAGTACATAAATATCTCATCCTCATAAAACAACAGCCAAAAACTAAAAAGAAAAAACCTTCACCTGTATGTGATTTTAGAAGCATAGAGAAATACACAGAAAAAGATACACTGGGTTATTCACACGAGCTACCTGGGCTGAGTGGGACTCCATGCAAGAAAGGAAAATGAAAATCAAAAAGCATTCGGGAATACTTTTCAAAAAAATTATTAGCCCATTTTATACATATCTTATATTCTACTACACTCTATGTGGAGAGTAATTATGAAGGAAAAAAGATCACATTTTATCAGTACTTACCATTTTTATATTTCCCCATTTTCTTTCCATAAAACCCACATTATGAACATATAATTATAGAAAAAGGGATAGGCTTACATTTTTCCAGTGCATCCATTGCTGCTCCCATTTCCGCTTGCTGAATACTATTAAATAAAATAAAGGTAAGGTGCACTTTAAAGATTTTTTTCACAAACACAAGCTATGGCCACACATTATTCAGGTTGATTTTCATGTCTGGTGCATAAAATTTTATCTGATTACTTCTGTCACATACTGAATCACACAAGTTAGGAATATACACAAGGCCATGCAGAAACATCATTTATTTGCACAAAGACTATTTATGTTATTTGTTCCACGTTCTGAATGCTGTAATAAAATGCCTTCCATTTATATTAGGTCTGAAGGATTTCTTAAGTTTGAACATCCTTAGCATAAAGTTTAAAGAAGAAAAGAGTAAAAAAAACACATGCACGACAGACTTCCAGTCATTTCTCAGTTTAGGATATAAGTTAGAGGGTACAAAGAAAGAGGGTAACATACACCATTCTTTTTACCTGAGAGAAGATGTTAGCTAGCATTTCCAACAAAGCTCAAGTGAGTAGCGGTAAGAAGTCAATGTCCAATGCCTGTGTCACTCATGACGCGTCCTATAAAATGCTTGCAGCCACGCTGGGTACTCTGTTGGGTAACTGACCCTGGACGGCCCTTACCTGCACACCAGGTAATGTGGTTTTCTCAAGGAAGCCTAAGCCCTTTATGCAAAGGCATCCCCACTGTCCAAGGCCCATCTCAAGTCTGGGGCTAGACTTGGTGGGGACATTAATGCTTAGGATTCACTTTGCTATTACCCTTGAACATTCTACACTCTGAGTTTAAAAAGACAGACTGCAGAGTTTGGAAATACCAAGTAGGGACTTCCCAGACACACAGGATGTTCATTTGAAGAAATTCAAAGGCTCTCCTCTCATACCTTGGTCCTTTCCCACAGCCTATTCTTTCTCCCTTGAAGTACACTGCCACAGTGTAGGTTCTAGCATGGGAGGGTCCTACAGTCTGCAGAGTCCTGAGAGGAAAAAAAAGCAACATTAATTATGGTAAGGTGCTATTTCACTCTTAGTGCTAACACTTAACTCTAAGAAAAACCAGGTACTTATCACTTAGACAGAAAAAGGTAAAAATAATAAGAAAATTAAAGGAGTAAGTTTATTTGCTATGCTGACAAATCTAGAGAGAGCTTTTAAAGTAGGAAATTTTAAAAATTCTACACTGGATTTTTATATATATTTTTCCCAAAGCATTATAAGTAGTATCTGAAGGCTAGCAGAGAAGTGTAAAGTGTTTTAAACAATTTTAAAGTGTGTATACTCCAAGTATCCTAAAACTAACAAACTTGCAGCAGTGAAAAGTTAACCATTTCAGTCTGTTCATTGTTCTTCAGTGCTAATCACATCCAAAAATGATAAGTATTTGGGCAAATAACATCTCAAGCCACATCTGAATGGTTCTGTCCTTTATGAATTCTTTCCAATGCCCAGCATCTTATTGAAAAGATCAGAAAAAGTATTTAATTTCTGAAACATCTGAGATCATTTCAAAGGTACGCTGTGACGCCAAGTACACAACACAACTGCCAAACAGCAAAACTCCAGGTACTCTGGATTTTAATGACATGGTGCAGATTTCTCATGCAGTAAAACCGATAACTTTATGGAAAAGGGAAATTAAAAGTAGGCAACAAAGATAATGGAACGAACACAGTAACCTTGAAAAAAAATATGCAAAACAACCCTATCATCTCCACAAAAGAGAACAAGCTCATCGTGTACTTGCATTTGGGGGATTTATGAGAAGGGAGCAGAGTCATTTCCGTTGTGCTCTATACACCCCGTGGGATGCAAGCACACGGCGGCCCCTTGAAGGGAGCGCTTCGGGTAGTAATCACGCCTGTGCTATCAGAAGTTTATCATCCTCATTTCATTTACTGGACCTTAATTACCACTTTGATGAGGAAACACTTTGAGCCTTTCATGTAATACAGTTTGGATATTCATTATGCTTATTAGGTACACATTAAAGTCCTATTTCTAAACATTTGGGGATTTCTCCCAATAAGTAAAGGAAACATTGTTTTGCAGTGACAGCTTCTTGGGACAATTTATAGTAGCTTGCTGTGGGGTGACTCAAATTTCTCTTGGCTTCAGTTCTCTTAGCGAAAAAACCTATAACGTGTTGTGACTATTAAACACGTAGAGAAGGATTTAAAATTCCCAGCTGCCACTCTGGTGTTTTTCATTCTGAAGTTTGAGAAAGTCCACAGAGAGGGGCTTTTATTCCATATGGAACACTCGCACAAATGTGTGTGCTTGCCACCACGTGTGTGCAGAGACGTAAACAAGCATTCAAACTAGATTTTTAAACATCCTTAAAAACACATACCCAGATAATGCCTTGGGAGGCAATCCACCTATTTTGATAATCCTTTCCTTTTGTAATTCCTCTTTGAAAACACCTTCTGAATCAACAAAGGAGAGTCTCAAGATAATTACTCTACCTCGGAGTCAAATCTGCTGTTTTCATCAAAACTGGTATTCTGTGTGTAGGAGTGACCTGCATTCTTTTGGCATGAATGTTGGCTACCACTCAAAGGACAACAATTTGTCACTAAACATATTCAAAAGCCCACCGTAGTTTCTGATACACACTCTGAGAAGAAAAACCCCAAATGTGTGGGTAACACAGGGGCAGTGAAGAAGCGCCCTGCCTCCTGCTGTGGCTGCCTGAGGAGGCATGAAGCTGTCTGGCACCAGGGACAGAGGGCCAGCAGGCTTCAGACTGGAGTGGAGAGAGACACCCAAATCCTCTTACAAACAGGCACAACCTTCTCATCGAGATGCCCAGCCCAGCGGAGCTTACGAGAAATAAGACAAACATAAAAAGCACAGATAATCAGAGGTGACCCACTTACTTAGAACGAAAAGACGGGGATGCCCAAAGAGATTCCGTGCTGGGCCCAGAGTCAGTGTCCAGGAGGCCACATCCAGACCCCTCGTCATGATTCCCCGCCGTGGTTCGTCCTTCCTCCAGACCCCTGGAGCGTGGACTCTCCACTTAGCGACCCGACGCCTGCGGGAGCAAGTACTTACTTGTACAGAGGAATGTCAGGCTCCTTCCCTTCGGTCCTGAGTGTCAAGCAACACTGCTGAAGCTGGGACTTGGGGTCATTCCAATCCTGATTCAAAATAAACTCCTGTAGCAAGTCCCCAAGAAATATTTAGTGATGGGTCCTGGAATCACCAAGCATCAAGTATATGACCAATTTAAATTTCATATGAGCTTACTTTTAATCGTGGGAAGAAGCAAACATTCATGAAAGTGTGAACATATTCCAAATCCTTATCAATGTACAGTGCTGCAATAAATGCTGAAAAACAGAACATTTAAAAAATAAAACCACAGTGCATTGCCATTTCCCAGAAAGAGTAAGAGATCAGACTTTTAAGAAACATTGTAATGAGGTTTTCAACTCCCAGGCCCTCTTTATTTTTTAAAATTGTCCTATCCTTTTTCTTCAAACAAGAATTTCCCTTCATCACTAATATTAGAAGCAACAGTACAGATGTGTGATTAAAATGCAAAAATCAAAAGAGTACAAAGACCAAACTACGTTTGGCTAAAGGCTAAATAAATAGTTAAATGGTACACAAAATGCTATTTACTGTACAGCAGGGAGAGAATGATATGTGGGAATACAACCACATTAACAACAAATCAAAAGAAAACCTGAAGATCAGATATGACAGTGGAATGAGCACATTCTTGCGGCCTGCCATTCTCCACACCAATCTTGAGAAGACTAGCCATCTACAAGGGTCTATGTTACATTTCACGTACAGAATTTCGTAGAGTCAATCTGCCCAACAGAGAAAAATTTAATACTGGGCTTAATGACAACATAACAATACATCAAACTTTGCATTAGGAAATAGTGACCCGAAAGATGACTTCATTAAAAGGCACTTTAACCAAGGAAACAAATGGTGAGTTTTTAAAAGAAGGTAATAAAAATAGCTTTTACTGAGCTTAAAAAACAAAACAAAAACCCAAAAAACCTGCCAGTGAAACTGATTACTCAACTTTGCTGTAATTTTAATCTTTAAGTTACTTTTAATTGAAAAAGAGGTTCTTTTAAGTTCCTTAGCCAGACTGCCTTTGCATTTTGTAAATGAGCTGGTTTTGCATGGTAGACTTTAATATTTGTATATAATTCCAACTGTCAAAAATACCATAATATTTTTTTTTTAAAGTTCCAAAGCCCAGTGAATGGTCCACTTATTTTAAAGTAGTATCAAAAACAATAAAATTATGCATATAATCCTTTAGTTAGCCATAATAGGATTATTTTTAATGCTTCCAGACCATATCAGAAATTGCCAAAGATGACATTTGTCCGTAGAGCTTTGAGCTCATTCAAAACAACAGATAATAGTTTTAGTATTTAGCAAATAAATTAGCCTTCTTTCTTCTATGCCCCTGTATAAAGGCTGCTAGGTGGCAAGAAAAGCTATGAGTCACTCTTACCAATCTTCATATTCTGCTACTGTTTCCCACAAAGGATGTGATGGTTGAGCATTAGGATGGAGGGGTGTAGAAGCAGGGATGGGGGCGGGTGATACCACTGAACACAGACTGAATATAAAATTCATTATTCGCATGTCTTAATGCTAAAATACTCTCCTAAAAAACTTTAGAGAAAAGCATAAATAAAAATTAAAATAGAAAAGGTTTCTTTACTTACAACATAATAATGAGAAGTAAGATAAATGTGGGTGCATTTGATTTACATTCTGAATCTGCAGGTTAAGAGAAAAGCTCTACTCCTAAGACTCACATTCCAAAAGGTCTGCCAAGGTCTTGGTCCTAAGAGCCACCGGTCTCTTGGTCTTGTCGTTCGTGATGGCATACTCCTGCATGCCCAGCTCCTCCGCTACCTTGGCTTGAGTTCTGTTATTCACCAAAGAGCTTCGCAACAACTGGCCAGAAGGAATTGAGGCATGTTTAGAAACCATTTCACCAGGCGCCTGGGTGGCTCAGTAGGTTAAGTGTCTGCCTTCGGCTCAGGTCATGATCCCAGGGTCCTGGGGTTGAGCTCTGCGTTGGGCTCCCTGCTCAGCAGGGAGCCTGCTTCTCCCTCTCCCACTCCCCCTACTTGTGCTGTCACTATCTCTGTCTCTCTCTCTCAAATAAAATCTTAAGAAAAAAAGGAAGGAAGGAAGGAAGGAAGGAAGGAAGGAGGGAAGGGAGGGAGGAAGGAAGGAAGAAACCATTTCACTGTGATCTCTCCCACTCCACTATTGGGCCCAACCAGACTGAGACCACATTATCAACTGGAACACCAAGGTAAGCAATGGTTTAAGTCCTCAACCACTACACACAGGCTGCTGTGACAAACTCCATATGCTTCTAGCTTCTCCTTAATAACTTACTCTGCTCCTGGATTTTACCTGTTATTTAAATAGTTTATTTAGTTGTTTAGTAGCAATGAGCCATGTTGGGGGGAGGGTACTATACTATAATTAAAGATCATAGTTTCCACTAACTATAATGCTACTAAGTGTAAGGAGCATTAACATTTTTAAAAATCAACTGTACTGTAGTATAAGTTACAGACAATAAAATACACACATTTCAAGTGTAGTTAAATGAGTTTTGACAACTTTTTACATTTCTTTTGCCCCCAAATAGTTCCATGTACCCCTTTGCAATCAATCAATCTGATGCACCACCCACCAGGCAAACTCGACCTGCATTCTGTCACTGTACATTAGTTTTAAAGGAGCATTATTAACAAGTCTAAAATAAATATCAAGTTTCACAGCACTGATGCTAATTTTGATATTATAGGATTTGGGGAAGTAATGTTTTAGTAAACATTATTTAAAATATTTGAATTATTTATTTATATTTTTACTTTTATTACTTTAAAAATGGATACTATATATCCTGAAGTATAGTTGGGACTCTTCACCTCTAATCAAATTAAAATGTAATTTTCATATTTCAACTTCAAGAATTCAAAACAAAAATTTCTAGTAGAAATTTCAGTCAGCAAAGAGTCCTCCAAGCACCATCCTAAGTAGTAACATTACACAGTGCATGAAAATTATACAACAAACCCATCGCAGAGGTGCCTGTCCAGCAAGCATGGTTTAGGAACTTGGTACTCAGGAACCACTAACTAGAGGAAGTGAGGAGGAAGGCTAGGGGAAGCAGACAGATACCAAGATGGACCAAACCTAAGATTTCGGGGAATAACATACCTAAAACTAGAACTTTTCTTACAACAGCTCTAACAAATTCTTGGTCTCCTACAACAATCCCTTCCTGCTAAGGAACAGCCCTGACACCAGGGCCACGGAGCAGGAAGCAGCTGTGGGCTGCGCTGGTGTCAGACCTCCTGCCATTCCACACTGCACTTTGTTTATTAGATGCAAGTTTTATGCTCTGTGGCTCCAGTGTCAACCGAGCTTATGAAAATCAAGATTTATTCTCAATGCCTGAGATTGCATCCTTGACAATAGATAAATAAGAAACAGTATGTTCTTAATTTGTCTGACAGTGATGCATGAAGCAGAAATACAACTTGATCTTCATAAGCCATGCTTGCTGTTGAGTTAAGACTATTATTCTTTGCTTGTCTCTGCTCCCTTCCTCCTCCTATTTCCCCCAACTCTTATCTTTTTTCTCAAAATAGTAAATGTTTCATTAAAATTAATATCCACAGAAAAGCTCAAAATTAAAAAGGCCTACCATATAACGTTAACAGAAGACCCAACCAATAGGAGCCTATCAGCCTAGTATCCTGTAATTACAGAATAACTGAGCTGGAAGGGAGAGATCTTTTTTCATTTGAATTCCCAATGGGGAAACAGGGGGAGGCAGTTCTCAAAGTAGAGGCCGGGGTGGGGAATAGGAGGGCTATTTTGAGAATATGGTTATGCTGAGCAAGTTGGGTTCTCTCTGAGAGAGAGCTTTCGTGAGAAGACAGAACTCTAATTCAGGCTGCCTACATGGGGATGCCATGCCTCAAAATCAACAAGCTGGAAGTACACTCCATGGGCCCACACAACACACCATACATCACAGGTTACCAGGCCCTCACGGCTGCCTTCCAGCATCAGGGCTCTTTTGTTAGTACTACACAGTAATGGTGATGGACGGAGGAGGAGGAAAGCACTGAGGATGCAAACAAATGCTTCCAGTTTTATTTAAGATCCACCCTGACAGGTCTTGAATCCGCAGGGTGACCAGCAGAAAGTGATCTTGAAGTTCTTGCCAAAACTCAGAGCCTGAACCAAAACCCAGGGGGGGAAGAAGGAAGCCATAAATCATCCATATTTGTAGAGTCCATTTAAATTGAGAAGACGAATTGAAAAGAAGACCTTGCTCTTTACCTAAACAAGAGAGTCCGAATGGCAGTCCTTTAAATGACAGCTTCCACCCTCAGCCTTTGCTGAACTCTACTTCAGAAGGCCTCACGCTGTTTGCCAACAAGTGGGAGCAAGAGGGGGTCACACAGCAGAAAACCACCTGGAGTTATGAGGTACCTACTTCATGGGGTTGTAATGTATTACGCTGCAATGCCTGGCACATCATCAACACACATGAAATGTTAGTTGCTATTCTCACCCGCAGTGGCATCATCATTATTAGGCAAGATGAGCTCACTCTCTGGTTACAAGAAAAGGGTTATAGGAAGTTCTAGGAATTCGTCTGGATTTTTCTTCAACACAGATGGTCTAGATACCGGTCCATGTACTGTCTTCAAAGCTTTCCATTTTACCAAGGGCTAGGCTGCCCTTCACAACTTTTTCTTTAACCCTCCCCACCCTTCAAAGACAAAATTATACTTGAAATCACCAGAAAAAATGCAGAAAGCTGTAGTCAGGACTCTCTGTGAAGCTGAGAAAAAGATGGCAGAGTCCCTGATGCAATGGCAGGACAAATATAAGTGTCACACATCTCCAATTCTGACTTTGAGAATCCAGGGTGTTTTCTACTATCTTGGCACAGCAGTCTCTCATGACTAAACTTAAATTTTAATAGGAAAAAGGTTTATTGGTTTAAAACAAAGAAACATACTGGCATTCTTCCTTCAACTTCTCTATTCACTCTTGATTCCAAAGAGGAAGCCACAGCTGCAGGACGTGAGCAACCAAAGAGGGCCACCTAGTGTAAAGTAAGTAGACTGTGATTTATTATTTTAAGGGCTTTAATATGAGAGCATGGGGTGAAAGCAGAATATCGTATTAAGAGTGACAGCGATGTGCCACACAGGCCTGTTATACCAAGAGTGGTAACCAGATGGTCTCCATTTCCTGTGCTAACTGAAGAAAAGGTGCACAAATGCTGGCAGGTGGGATGCAGATCGGATACAAAGAGCCAAATTATGTCAGTGACTGAGAAATTCTCAAACAGGAGGCTGTGGAACCTATCCTCTCAAAGAGATCTTGTAGATGAGATATGCGTTTGTCTAAATGATTTATGTTTAGTGCTGTCTGGAGGCAGCAGGGAGGGATTAGATCACTGGTTCTCAAACTTTTTATTTGTAATCCCTGCTTTCTCCTTATTCCAAATCATTCCTCTATAAACAAATATTTCTGCAAGTTCATCTCACTGATGCACACACAGGTGGGCACGGCATGTTACGCATAGTAGAGGCATAGGATTAACAACTATTTTTAGCTCCGTAGCACACGGTAAAGGCTAAGAAGGAGGAATGATACAGAGGAAAGAACGATATGCAGGTGTTAAAATTTGCAAGTGTGACAAGACAGGCATCCTGGTCTGAGCTAGTGCTCTTTGGGACCCTCTCACTACTTACCTAATCCCTACTGGGTAGGTTCTAGGTTCTACCCTAAAAATCAAATACTTCAGTCTACAAAATCAACCTCAGTCATCCTAGAACAATTATCTATGTCTGATATTCCTTCCCAAGCAGGCCTTTCTGAATATCCAACTCATACAACACTACGTTTTTCCCTATTAGCGTTCAAAACTTCAAATCCATGATTTCATTTGTTCAACTGTCCTGTTCTCTGTAAAACAAGTGCACAAAGGGCTCAAAGCTAACTAATGCCTCCCAGTGTGAATTAATGTAGTTGTGTGTTCTTTAATCACAATAATGAATAATTTGCCACGCCCCCATACAAATGCAACTGTAGTAAGTAATCCTCCACAAATTTTCAATTAATTTTAATCTTGAAACATTCATAAATAAGTTTTCAGCCTCCTTCTTCATACATAAAACAACATGGCACTTCCCTCCAATGCCACTTCTACTTCCCTTTCTATACAACTTAGCTGCCGGCAAAACTCTTTCTTTTATTTATTTATAAAATATGTATTGAAAGCCTACCATATGGCTGGGCACAGAGTGATAAATAAAAACACGCTCTCAAAGAACTTCTAGGTTAGTGGGTCAGGCAAACTGAAATAAGTGAGTACCAGGAAATAAAGGAACGTGGAATTTTGACTGGGCAGCGGGGTGGCGGGGGGTGGGGGAGGATCTGAAAAGGTTCTCCTTGCTTCCAGAAGTCAAGCCAGAACTGATGTCTAATGGAAGAGTAGGAGAGACCAGGCAGATGAGAGTAAGGGTTGGAAGCAGAATGTTGTCCAGGAACAAGAAGAGCACATGTAAAGCCTGATGGCCGAAGGGGGCTTGGAGAAACACGGAACAGGGCAGTATAGAGGTGCACAACGAAAAGAAGAGCGTACTGCACGAGGTGGGCAGGTGGGCAGGCCAGACCGGGCCAGACCTTCCTTGTTCTTTAGTCACTATCCAAAGAATAAACAAAGAGCCCTGGACTGGGATAGAACAATCATTTATTCAGGATATCTGCTGAGCACTGATATGCCAGGAATGCCAAGGACCCAGGGTATCAGGAATGAAGAAAACAGACAAAAACTCTTGCCCTCAAGGAATTTACACTCTGACGAGAGAAAACTGACAGTAAACAAGTAAAATACATAGTCTGTGCTCAGGAGAAAATGGAAATGAGGTTCCCAGCTGGGAGAGGGGAACTAGGGACAAGGGGAAGAGGTCACAATTTTAAGCAGGGTAAGTTAAAGGCCTCACTGATAAGATAGCATTTGAACCGAGACCCGAGGGAGACAAAGATTTTGGCCACAGCATGTGCAAAGGCCCCGAGGCAAAGGCTTGCCTAGTGTCCTACGGGAATGGCACAGGATCCAATGCAAAGAGCCTAGGAGACAAAGACAGTGTCAGGGAGGCAGGTCATAGGGTCTAGTAGGCAACAACACTGTTATCCTTGAGACAGGGAATCTTTGGAAGGTTTTTCACAAAGGAGGGTTGTAATCTGACTTCCCTTTAAAAACAGTCCCTCTAGATGATGTGCTAAACAAGACTGAGGGCTGGGGTGGGGGGCAGGCACGTGGGGTGGTATGGACCAGTTGGGAGGCTATGGCTGTAATTCAGGGAAAAGATAATAGTAGCCTGGACCAGGGGAGTAACAGTGGAGCTTGTGAAAAGTAGTCACGTTCTGGACAAATTTTTAAGGCATAATCACTAGGATATGCTAGCAGCTAACACTATAACATGAAGCAAAGAGGACAGTTAAGGATGACTTTGAGGTTTTCAGCCTGAGCAACCATAAGAATGAAAAGATCCTTGCTGATATGGAGAACACCTAGAGAAAAGCAGGTTTTGTTTTGGCCATGTTAGGTTGGAGATGCCTAGCAGAAATCCAACTAGGGATTCCAGTATATCCTATACCTGGGTATTCAAGTGTATCTGGAGATATAAATACACGAGTCTGGAGTCAGGGCGAGAAGTACAGGCGGAAGACACGCATGAGGAAGTGGTGTGCAGAAGTCCTCAGAGCCATGAGATCACTCCCAGAAAGGAGGTCAAGAGAAAAGAGAAGCGGTCTGAGAACAGGGGTGCTCCAATACTTAGTGGTTGGGGAGATGAGAGGAATAACCAGAGTGGACTGAAGATGAAGGGCAAGTACGGTCACAGAAGCTCTGCTGTGAAAACACACCCCCGGACGCCCCGTGAAAATGCATCGTCGGATCAGGGAGGAGTGAACAGAGGAAGACTGGTTAGGAAGCTATGACCCGGCCAACAGGCCTGAAACCCGGGCCGACCGGAGGGTCTCTGCCTGGACACTGTCCACTGCAGGAGAGTACAGAACTGCAAAGGCCAGTTTTGCAAACAGTAGCATACAGCTCGGGGAAATCAGAAAATGCTGCATTGCCTAGTGCTTGGTAAAAACACAACCTGAAGATAGTATCCTGTGCAAATTAATAAACGCCACCCCTTGTAACGGGGTTTCTTTGTCAAGCATATTCCTGTAACCAGAGATGCAGAAGCTACTACGGCGGTCCAGGTGACCCAGGCTGGTTGAGAGGATTTAGGTGATGAAGACGAGGTATTTACTCAAGAAGTAACAATGTCAGGACATGTGAATAGTCTAGAATATAGGGCCGTGAGTGGAGAGAGGAATCAAAGATGACTCCTGGGTTTCTGACCTGCAACACAGGACGGCGGCCGTGCCACTGCCACTCAATTACTCAGGGAACGCTGGGAGAGAAGCGGCTGCTGGAAGACTCTAGGTTCGGTCTTGGCCATGGGGAGATGCTGAGGGGGCAGCTACTTACTGGAGCTCAGGAAGAAATGGGACTGAAGAGGTCCATGTGGACGTCACTGTGGCTAGAGTGAAACCAACAGTGTGTACGTGGAAAAGACTGCCGAGGAGGGGCTCTCGTGACAAGAGACAAGGGCCTAGAGGGGAGCCTTTCAGACACGTGTCAGAAGCTGACAGAAACTGACAGAAGCTGACAGAAGCTGACAGCAGCCAAAGAAGGACAGTGTTTCAAGAAGGAGGGAGGGAGCAACCATGCCAGCACCGACAAGAGTTCATAGCTTTTAAAATATGTACTCAATGGATGACAGATCATCTTTGTTTTACCAGCAGATCTGTCAGTCCTATTGATTTCTACCAAAGCCTTCTGTGAATATAGTTAATAAAACCATCATATCGTAATTTTGTCATTTACCATCTTTCTAATAAGCTATTTAAAATTCTCTAATTTTAAGACAGCAAGGCTGATAAATACATTTTGGATCAAACTACGGCTATGGCACTGAAGCAGTTTTGGAAAGAAAACAAAACTAGAATCTTTAGCATAGTCCTGGTTTTCCCTTTAATCTAGACCAAGATGGGAAGCAGTAAACTTGTTGATCTACATTCCACATCTACAAAATCCTAGAGTTCGCAATTAGTTTTGCACGAATACAGGGGTAAATGTGTGTATTTAGTCACACATTTTCACCAGTGGCCTCTATATGGCCAAAAAAATGAATTACTATTTCAAGCCCCTTGGCTTGGTTTGGCCATTTCTCAGACCAACCAGATACTCTGACAGCAATGAAATCTATTCCCTAGTGGAAGATACTGAACAAGCATTTATTGATTCCCTAATGCACAGCAAGATACTAGACACTAGTTTATTTTTGGTAAATACTCCTATGTTCTTAAGAATTTAATATTAATTCAAGAGGAAATACTCCGAGTCCATCCAAAAATAGTTAACTTTAAATGGTAATCAAACTGTTAACTTTAAATTTAAAAGAATAGTATTACTGATTTCCCATATAATAGTATGGGGCATGGTAAGAACACAATACTCATTGAGTGAGCAAATAAAAGAATCACATTTTGTTAGCCTTAGAAATTTCACTGAAAAATTACATCTAAACATAGTCAAGTCACCATATTCTCCTTAATTCCAATATTTGTGTCTCACATAAACTATTTCCAGGGTTCACAGTTGCAGAGGTAAGATCCAATTCTATTCAAAGCAAAACTATGCATAAAAATTGTGGAGATGCAAAGTGTGAAAGACTTATTATTTGCTTCAAGTATAATACAAAAGGAAGGCTACACTAACAAAATATCTTAGAGCACACTACTATTTTTCTTGGGCTTTCTCAATGCCCAACTCTAGAGGGTCTTCTCAAAGGTTATTCTTAGGCCTTGAGAGATCATCATGACTGGCTTCCAGATATGCTTTGTTCACCATTCTGGCTATATTATTGATCAGTTTCAGAGTACAAACAGTATGCAACAAATAGAAAAGCTCAATACAATCTTATAAAATGAAACAAAAGTGAGAGAAATGGGGACTGTTTCACTTTGTTCATAAATCAAACCTTGTCTTTCTAAGTCCCTTTCAACTCTGCCCTGGATCCAGCCAAACTGATTCCCTACTGTCTCTCTATCTTCTGGTTTTTCATGTTATGCCTTTGTTTCAGCAAGCCCAATGTGTGGCATATCTTTGCATAGAAAATTCTTCCCATTAATCCTAGTGGCCAAATCCTACTCACCTTTAAAGGCTCAAACATCATCATATCCATGAAGCCTTCTTGGAAATCCACAGCTAAAAGAAATCTTATCTTTTTCTAAACAGCACAAGTGCATCAGTTTACCTATGCCTCTTCATAATATTTCACATGGTTCTCTCCTGTACTTAGTTACAATTACTTACTTACTACTTTTCACAGTGTACATGTATTGTATGCATGCACACATAACACATACACATACATACTATATATATATATACATATATAGAGAGAGAGAGAGAGAGAGAGAGTATTTGTAGCTATTTACTTACATTTTTCATTTCTGCTAATAGTTTTTTAAACTCCTTATGGACAGGTGTCAACTAATATTTGCTCTTCCCATGAAGCCTAGCTCAAGTCAATGTCTTGCACAGAGTATGTAATCATTAAATGAAGGGAGTTCATAAAACAAGTTCTTCTCATGTACTGCTTTGTATACAATTTGCATAATGAAATGAACAAAACCATATGATATGCTAAAGTCAAGAACTAAGTAATTAATTACATAAATATATATTTAGCTACTCTAATCTTCACTCTATTATATAGCAATCTTACTGGAGGGAATGATTTAACACAAACTCACAGTTAAGTGTCCTTCATGATGATCTGGGAAATGAATAAATAAGTACTCGGTGGCTACCAGTTGCATTATGGAGTCACCTAGGAATTCCATCCTCTGATTGTGGCCTCTGGAAAAAACAACATCAATGCAAAGAGATCAATAAGCATTTGTATATTAAAAAAAAAAAGCAGAATTTTTAAAAAGGCACGGTTTTAGAAGGCAATGTGTTCACCTTGCTTTAAAACACAAAACTAAATACAATCCCCTAAGGCCCCTCAACTGAGAAGAGACCTGAGTCAATACAGATTGAGTTTTCGAAGAAGAGTACAGGGACTACTATCTAAGGATTAAGTAACTGGTAAATGAAGACTGATAAATAGTGCCTGGTCAGAAGTTAAGGAGTATCAGTTGAAACATAAAGTATAGATAACACTCTCACACAGAGAAAACAAAGCAAAATGGTCCAGGAATTTTCTTTGTTAAATCTTTACTTTTTTATTGAAATATACACTCTATCATTCAAATCTGGAATCCAGTTTAAGGACACTAAAATAAAAAAAAAAATCTGACAAGAATCTTAAATCTCTACACTTTAAAGAGAGCTGTGAATATTTGATTTGGAGGAGAGAAGCCAAGAACTAAATAAAAAACAACAGGCAAAGAAATAACATTTTGGTTATTTTCCTAATTATTATATTAGCTCATCTCCAAATCATTCATCTAGAGCTAGGATGGAGAGCCAATTTCAGCCCACGGTCTGTTTTTGCAACTTTAACTGGGACAGAGCCATGCCCATTCATTTACATTTTCTCTGTGGCTGCTTTTATGCTACTAGAGCAGAGTCGAATCACTGCAACAGAGACCACATGGCCTGTAAAGCCTAAAATACTTAATATCTGTTCCTTTACAGATAAAATTTTTACTTCCTTCATGCTTCTCTTACACTTTATGAAGAAATAAGATGCATGACAATGAGACCAAAAATACTGGATTGGAACCTAGCCCCTGATCCACACCAGTGTCTGGCTACTCACCCATCTCATGATGTGACTTTCCTAGAAATATGTTTGAAATCCCAATTCCTTTGAAAGGCAAGCAGCAAAGGTTCGGGACTGCCTGTCTAAATGGTCACACTGGGATTGCACGGTTAAATCTAACTTACAGGGTCAGATGGTTAAATCCCACAGTTCTCAAAGTGAATGCTCTTGCCAGAAGTCGAACATGAGTAAAAATTACTCCAATTGCTTCTTCAAACTCAGTAAGTTTCTGCAGAACTGGAGAAGTCTCAATAAGTTGTCGATCAGTATTCGGCTCTTGTAGCTGCAGGAAAAGAATAAAAAATAAATAAAAATCACATGCAGTTTTTGGTTACAAGAATAATTATCAACTCTAGGATAGTGTTTTGTAAAATTCCTTCTCCCATGGGCAGAAATTTCTGAAATGCCAATAAAACACGGAAGCTTCTTTCTCATCCCTTAGAATGGCAAACAAACCTAAAATTTAAAGAAGGCTCAAATAATATTTTCCAATCTTCTATCAAGTTTCAAGGCCAAGTACTGTACACAGATAGTTGAAAATCCCATGTATTATACTAACTCTCCAAGGAAGAGGCAAAGTGAAGAACTGCTGGTGGAGAATATGTATATCTAGTAATGCAGTGGTTCTCAAACTTTCACATTCATCAGAACCCTTATAGGGCCTATTACAACCAAATGGCTAGGCCCTACTCCCAGAGTTTCTGATTCAGTATATCTGGAGTAAGGACTGAGAATCTGCCTGTCAGACAAGTTCCCGGAAGAGGCAGATGCTGCTTTGAATATCACTTTTTTGGGGGAGAGAGAGCACCACACCACAACCACACAAGTATTCCTCTGGCCTTAAGGGGGAAGGTGACCCCCAGTGCTCCCCCCACCCCACCCCAAAGCACAAATGCAACACATGGGTTCATTTTACTATTTGTTCCAAAGTTTTCCAGTTCTGCTTGACACCCCAGCTTAAGGTCATAATGTCACTGAAGGGAATAAAGGTTGATAAAAGCAGGAGGGAAAAATAGGCAAACTAAAGTAACGGGACTACCCGGAACTATAAAGCTCACTGCAGACAGGAAGGTCGCACTTACTTGCAGTGGGTGGAGAGGATAATTGAGCCAGACTTCACGCAGGTCCTGGAAAATAGAATGATGCCTTTAATGCTCCAGGGAGCCATTTAACACACTCTGGAGTACTAAATAAAATGCCATTATTTGAAATAGTGAACTATTTCAGATGCTGACTCCACTTATTGCAAATTCAATAGTGATAGCAAACTAATTTTTTTTAAGTGTATTCACCATTCAAACTGCCTGTAGTGACTCTAATTAGCCTATTAAGCCGGGGAGGAAAAGAGCCACCTCCATCCCCAGAAGTCAAAGATACCTTCTAAAACTCAGTTACACATTTGCTTAACCTAATACACGGGATTGAGTTGCTGTTTTAATCATATTTTTTAGTTTACCATTCCCCAGAAATGTGCATCAGCTCTGCCTTTTGTAATTAAAACTCATCTCAGAGGTCTTTTATTTTAGGCACTCATTCATTAGCATTTGAGCTGCTTTAAGATGGGGTGGAAAACATCCAAATCTAGTTCCTAAACTCTCAGATCTATAAGACCGCACTTTTACCGCAGGTCACTACAAATGTTTCCTTGAAATATGGAAATGAGTGAATTTTATGGAGAAGCCCAGTACCTTATTTTATCCACTGAGCTAAATCTAGAGGTAGTTATAATTAGAACTTCCTCAGGATTAAAGTGTTTTTCCTTCAGTTTTAGACTCTAGGGAGCCTCTGACTGTATCTACTTTCTGGCCTTGATGTTAGGTTTTTCAAACAAATAACAAAAGATTTTTAAAAAGAGGGAAAAAATATTTTTTTTAAATTTGGGGGGAGAAGTCTAAGAATATCTATTATCACTGTGACACACATGATGACAAAATGAAATAAAATACCCAATATTTCTGGAAAACTTGCATCCCACTTAGAGGGTTTGGGGGGTTTTTTTGGCCAATATTAAGAAAAAAAATATCAAACTGTTCTTTTAAGGCTTTAGAGAGCTTCTCTTAACCAATTCAATAACCTTTTCCTTGCATTCTCTGTAGCATGAATTACGCTGAATGTCATTCCCTTCTTGCAACTTTCTCATGTTCTCTCATGCTTTTTTCCTCCGCAAAGCAGTGAGCCCAGTGCTGGGACATAGAAGACGCTACTATTAATGTTGGTCATATCAACAGTAACAGTAAACAGCCATCTCTTCCAACCAACTCCAATCTCCAAAATTCAAAATTCTCAGCAACTTGATTCTTCTTTCTCCCTTCTATGTTTTTCACTCAGTGACACTGTGATTTCTCCTTAGATGTCTTACATATATAACCGCTTAACCCCTCACGACTAGATTATTTCAATTGCCTCCATTTCCTTTCATCTACCCTACTCAGAGATCAGGTTCTGCCACACCTTGATGCCAGAGAAAATATCCTGTAAAAAATCCAGATTGGAATCCCAGCTCTAGCATTTATTAGCTCCAGGCAAAACCTCTACCTTCAGTGTGTTCTGGAAAATGTTCACTGACCGTTGACATTTATTAATGCAACTTTTTATCCCTTATTTTATTTCTTTCAACATGATAAGTGTACTCTTTAATCCCCATCACTCCCCCCACCTCCCCTCTGGGAACCCTGTTTGTTCTCTATAGTTAACAGTCTGTTTCTTGGTTTGTCTTTCTTTTTATTTTCCTTTGCTCACTTGTTTTGTTTCTTAAATTCCACATATGAGTGACAGATTAGATGGTATCTGTTTTTCTCAAACTGACCTATTTTGCTTAGCCTCCTATCTCTGGTTCCATCTATATTGCTGTAAATGGCAAGATTTCATTCTTTTTAATGGCTAAATAATATGCCTCTGTGTGTGTGTGTGTGTGTATTCTTTATCCACTCATCTGTCGATGGACACTTGGGCTGCTTCCATGGTTTGGCTAATGTAAAGAATGCTGCAACAAACATAGGGATGCATGTGTCCTTTAGAATTAGTGTTTTTGTATTTTGGGGGTAAATACCCAGTAGTGTGATTACTGGATCATAGGGTAGATCTATTTTTAACTTTCTGAGGACGCTCCATACTGTTTTTCACAGTAGCTGTGCCAGTTTGCATTCCTAACAACAGTGCACGAGGGTTCTTTTTTCTCCTCATCCTTGCCAACACTTGTTGTTTAGCAACATATCTTTGTTGAATACATACTATGTATTAGCTTACTTAGACAAATGAGATACCATTCCTGTCCTCAAAGGAGCATAGTGGGGAAAAATGAAGGTAAGTATAATTTGAACTGACAGAGGTTCTATAATAGTGATATGTACTAAATGCAAGGAAAACTCTGCTTGGGGGGTGTGAGATAAAGCTTCAAAGAAGAGGTAACTCTTCAGATGTACCCTGAAGAACATGAGGAATCTGGCAAATCAGCAGGGGGAGGGAATCAAAAGGAGAGCACCATAAATGCACAAGTAGTGTGTCTCAAAGAACACAGGCACAAAAAGTTAACTCCTAATAGGCAGAACACAGAGGATTTCAGGGCAGTGAAAATACTCTACATGATATTATAATAGATACATGGCATCACACATTTGTCCAAATCCACAGAATGTACAAGGTAAACTCTGGACTTTGAGTGATGATATAGGTTCATCAATTGTAATAAATGTACCGCTCTAATGGGTGATGTTGATAAAATGGGAGAGGCTGTGAATGTGTGGAGGCAAGGGGTATATGAGAAATTTTTACTCTGAATCAGGCTATTAACCTAAAACTGCTCTAAAAAAGTCAAGTCTTAAAAAAATTTTTAATTAAAAAAGGGAATTCCTAGAATGGCACAAAGGGGAAGTGAGAAGATGGGAGACAAAAAATAGATGGGAGTCAGATTATGAAAACCATTAAACGCTCTGTTATATAATACAGACTCTGGCAGACAGTAAAGAAATCAAAGACCATAATCAAATCCGTGCATTAAAAAGAAGACAACACTAAATGTAGTACGAATGAGAGACTGGAGTCATGGCGAATCACAACCAGTTCAGTATTTCATGTGAGAGATGAGGAGGGTAAACACTAAAGCAATAGGATGGCCAAAACAGTGAACCAATTCAAGAGATACTAAGGACAGAACTGATAGGAGTTTGCAACTGAATGGAGATGGGAAAAAAAAAGCTTCAGGACAAAAGAAGATCCTAAGGTTTGGGTTTAGATGATAAAAGTAAGGGAGGTGAAATATGTTTTGGTGTTAAGGTGATGAGCTGAAATGCTAAAAATGTTGAAATGAGGTATCTGTGGAACACCCGCGTGAAGCTGCCAAGAAGCCATTTGAAAAAAGACACTTATTCTAATTTCTGGAGCTCCAGAGAAAAGGCCACGGTCGGAGATACTGGGACAGACATGTAAAGACCAAAAGGAGGGAGTGGGAGAATATGAAAGATTACAGAGTATCTCTCCCTATCTAAGAGGCCCATTGGGATGGTCAAATTGCAACAATGGGTCTGAAGGTACTGGGAAACCATGAAGGGTCAAAGATGAAAACCTGGAACCAGGAGAAACGGTCTGGGCTGAAGAGTGAATGAACAGTAGACCAGACTGGGAAGGGAAAAACAGCCCTGCTGTGAACGGGGGGGGGAATGACACAGTTAAAGCCCACTGCAAAGTTCATAGGAAACTATGTTTCCCTCAAGGTCTTACAGCAGCTGTAAAATGTCAGAACAGGTCGCCTCTGGGAGGACTACTGCTTTCCTGCCAATGTTGCCCTCTGACCTGCTTTGCTATGTCTTATCCTCTAAATAAAGATTACTGGGGACACTTTTGCTAACCTGCCCTTGGCTCCTAACAGCACCCAATTCCAAATTAATCCCTGGCTCCTTCTGATCCAGCCTCAGAAAAAGGCAAGCAACCAAGAACTGATCCCTGCTTTCCTGGCCCCCCCTTAGAATCCGCCAGCACCAGCCCAGGCCTCGGAAAGGACTTGCACCTCCCTCACAACATGGGTTCAATCAATCTGACTTTGTGGGTCTACAGGTTTCTGTCTGGCTGCCTGCAGCTGATTAGACTTTCACACTACCATTACTCAAAAAAAAAGTTCAACGGTTCACCAGTGTCTCTGATGCGCCACACCTAACAGATGTAAACCAACACGGAGATGTCAAATGTGTTAGACTGTCCTAGTGTGTGCACTTGAAAACTCTGAAATGGAAAGACCATATCTTACTAAGCACTGTCCAGTTTCATAAAAGACACAGTAAAATGAATTCTGAATCTCAGGCATCCCATTTGTAAGATCATGTTCAGACTCTGCTTTTTCATTTAGTCACTTATTCATTTCATTCTTTTAACGAATATTTATTAAACACTGCTTTTTCATTTAGTCACTTATTCATTTCATTCCTTTAACGAATATTTATTAAACAGTGCCAGCATTGCACTCGCTACTGGAAATATAAGATAAGCTTGCTAAGTAGCCAAGTGGGAGAAAAGCAGTTTAAAGAGAGAAAAGAATCTAAACAAAAACTGGTGCAATTAAGAACACACAGTGTATAACTGCATATGATTTAGGAAAAGAACACAGGGTGGATGGGGAGGATGCAGGTAAGATGGGAGAAGGGGGGGAGCTTGGGGGGGGTAGGGGGACCAGTTTAAGGCAACACTGGAGGGAGGGAAAAAGTAAAGAGGTTGCTGAAATTGCCAACAAAAGATAAAGGCCAGAACAAAGCTATTTTAAGATTTGAGAAAAAGACTTAAAATACACGCCATCTGCTACAGATATAAATCAAGATGCACACTCATTTAATATGTGTAGGACAAAACGGGGGAACAGGGAACATCTGTAGATAACTTTCCCATCAGGAGAGAATTCACACACATAAAAACATCACATATCTCTATAAAAACAAATATAAAAAATCAAATCCTCAGATATGAACATCATCCAGGTCACATTTTTCAAAACTATTGATTCTTTTTTTTAAACTATCCTAAGTAATACAGTAATAACATCTGACAGCCACCTAAGCTGAAGGTTTCAGAAAGGCTTAAAACACTGGCTTCCTATGTTCTTTATTCCTCCATGAGGGCTATTTCACTCAATTATAATGACATTTCAATTTGGAATACAGAGTTGCCTCTCCCTTTAAATGTTAAATTGACTTGTTTTGGTACAAAAAGCATCTAGTATGCTCTATTACATGCAGGATTAAAAAGGTAGCTCTAGCAATATTAATAGCTTAATACTTTAGTAACAACAGAAACTATTTTAGAATCTATCATTTGTTCTTAAACTGTAATTTGCTTAAGAAAAAAAAAAAAGTACTTCCATACTCTTTATTCATAGCCCTATCAGAAACTCCCTATGGAAAAAAAAAAACAAAACTCCCTATGAACTGACTTTCTAAAATAAATATACATTTATCTAGTCTACATAATTTACATAAAGACAAATCATAAACAGAAAAGCTAAAAGGCGAGAGCTTCAAGTAAGCCTGCATGGGGTAGGTACCCAACGATTATAAAACAGAAAATCATAATTAACTTCAAGATACTTCAAAATAAAGCAAAGTATTTATATTGAATTTGTAAGTGGCCACGAGGAGAGGCAGGGTTTCAGGTAGAAGACAAGCCCCTCGTGTAAGTGTCCACAGCACTTTCCCATTTGCAACAGAGCCGAGTAAACTATTCTGATACACTTAAAGTCTACCATCTACGGCAGATTCGGGGACTTTGTTTCTCCTACACTCTCTTTAAACACAATCACTAATTGATATAAAATCCTCTGTAATAATACATAACTGAGAAAAATCAAATGATTCAGGATAAATACCGGATCATTAAAGAGTAAGCGTCCAAATAACTGTTTGGCTTCTTCCAGGCTTCCCTCCAAGTAAACAGCTCCTAGATAAAAGGATGGGAACGCCAAAAGGAAGGCTGCATTAATATTCAGAGAAAATTACATATCTCTATAAAAACCAAAAGGCAAGTCAAAACCACTCACAGAAAAAAAAAAAACGACAAGACCAGAAGTAATTGTTTTAAAGGTAGCATTTTCCCTCTTTTAGCCAGGATTTGTATTATAAATTAGACTGAAATATGAAATTCAATTTACTGAAATCTAAACCCAAAATTTAAGTAAAAAGCCTAATCTGAGCTATCATGAAGGGTATGGGTATGAACTTACTAAGGGAAGTATGCACAAACCCTGGCTTTATGAGCATGTTAGGTTTCATTTTATTTTGCTTTCTATTTATAGTTTATGTTTCAGACCATAAAAGAATCTGATAAAACCCGAGTTCAGATCAATGAAGACTCCTGCAAATAAAAATCAGGACAACCTTTTCCTTTAATTTGAAATAACTTTTAACATTTATTTTTTTTTTAAAGATTTTATTTATTTATTTGTGAGAGAGAGAGAATGAGAGAGAGAGAGAGCACGAAAGGGAAGAGGGTCAGAGAGAGAAGCAGACTCCCTGCTGAGCAGGGAGCCAGATGTGGGACTCGATCCCGGGACTCCAGGATCATGACCTGAGCCGAAGGCAGTCGCTTAACCAACTGAGCCACCCAGGCGCCCAACTTTGAACATTTAAATTGGATATCAAATCAAGTAACATTTTAATTGGGTATCAAATAACTCCAGAGTAAGGTAGTCATATAGTTTTGAAATCATATTTTTATATCTGTCTTCAGAAAGGCATTTTTTAATGTAAAATATTAAGATACTTAGTCACCAGGGTTTTTGATGAATAAACACATTTATTATTTATCAGTAGTTGTAGTTATAATAATAATAATGCTAATAATAATGATGATGATAGTAGTAGCAGTCATGGTTTGGGGGCCACTCATGCCCTAGGCACAGTGCAAAGCATTTTCACATTCTTATCTTTACCTTCACGGGCACCTCAGCAAGAGAGTATTACAGAAGTTTTATAGGATTTGGGTTCATAGTAGGTGATTTGGGGAAGGGTTTGAGGAAATGGAACTCTGAATCAGACGCTGCCAAGATTGGATATTAAGATCCTTACAACAATTCTGTGAGGTAAATGACACTATCTCCATGTCATTGATGGGGAAACTGAGGCTCAAAGAGATTCAATAACTTGGTGAAGACACAATGCTGATAAATAAAGCAAGAAGGAATTGAATCATGTCTGCCTGGCTCAGGAGCCAACCATAACACTAACTGTCAAAATTATTATGTGTACAGAACACAATAACTCCATGTGACAAATCCTCTGAAAATAGACATATTTGTGCAAAATAGACATAGCTGTGAAAAGACTGGATAACAATTATTAAACATTCTCCTGTTACCATCATCAGCACAAAACTATAATGGGATGCTTTTATATTCATTTTCAAAGGAAGAAGGAAAATTGATAAGGAAGTACAAAGGCCTTTAAAAAAATGTACTCATTTATTTAAAAAAAAAATCAAGGAATTTGTCAATCTACTGTAACATTTCATTGTAAAGCATACTTGCAATCACCAGCTAATTAACTCTTCATAACTTTCCTGTACCAACAGCTGAATAAATTCTAGTTACAGTAAAAAAGAAACCAAGGCAGTAAAGTGCCTGCCTCAGTCTTACTTCAAGTGAATAAGTTATAGTCATACATACTCAAGCCCTGGGATTTAAAAGTTGCAGTGTTTTCAAGATGCTTAAATGAGAAAATCTTGTGAACAGTTTAAAATGTGATCAAAAACAATTATCAGGGCCTCATGAGCAACCTACTTACTGTTTATTTATGTATGTGATCCTGAATCGGATCTGGAAAGTAATCGACCTACATATTAACTCACTTCAGTTCAATTCAGCATATACTAAATATGCACGTACATGACATCAGACACCAATTCAGGCATCAGGAATGCAAGAAAAGAAAGCATGACTGCTCGCTCTGGAAGAGCTACACTAACCACAATACAACGAAGTTAGTATTATACTAGGGACCTCACATGCTTTGGAAACAAGTAATTTTGTCCCAACTCTCCACACTGAATTTTATATGCTCTCCAAACATTTTAAATATGTAAGAAACTAGATAATAAAAAGAGAAGTTACCTATTAATGCTTCAAAACAATTAGCCATTGCATGCCGAAGGTCTGATTCTCTACAAAGGTCAGGTCCATGAGCATAAAGCATAAATCGATCCAGTTCAAGTTTCTACAAAATTCAAAATGACAACTAAGAAAGAATTTGGCAAAATCATAACTGTAACAATTCAACATCTCCTAGGGGTAAGGAGTAATGGTTACAAATTAATTGGCCTTCTGTCAGTATATTAAGAGAGTTTAGCTTGCCATTCATTAGAAGTCCTTACATATGGTTCAGATCTGACTAACCTCAACCTTTCCTCAAGTAGGCTTCTATGAACTCTGATGTTTCAATTCTGATGGTTCAGAAATGATCAGACCTGAGTCCAATTCCAAGTTCAGACCAAGTACTAGTCCAAGCTGGAAAAAGACTATGCTATGAGACCATGGGCCTCTGGATTCACCCAACATGTCTAGAGAGACACGAACACAACCCAAAGTTAACCTCTTTGATTCCTGAGTTATGTGGTACTGATATTTGTACTATACAACAGATTTCTATGTGGTAGAATAAATGGGGACCCTCAGAAGACTTCAAAATGCCTTATATCTCTAAATCTTTTTTTTTTTAATTTGGTAAGGATTTTTGTGGCTCTTTATCTTTGTACTTGTGTCCCCTTTATGAGGTCTCCATACTTATCTTTCTGAAGGCTCAGTGAGATCTTCCGAGCAATGGGGTTGGATTTATCTTACGGGCTCTGGAATACTGTTTGTAATGAATTATGCTTCCTTTTTTTATTTGGCCTCAGAAAAGTTTAGAACCAAATTTGTGGTCGAAATTGTGTAGGACTTAGGAATATATCTGTATATAGTAACTTTATCTTCCTTTTTCTGTCTTAACCATATTTTCTCTTTACTCTGAGTTCAGTACCTACTTATTTCTTATCCTATTGTATTATAATATACAAATTAATTCAAGTCCTTTGGGAACTAGACACAGTATGAATGATTTTTTTTAAATAAAACTCCTGAGACTGAATAAATGGAAATCATAATTCTTTCCATAAAAGGAGAAAAATACAAACATGGCATAAGCATGCAATAAATCTGTTTCTATTACCCTATAATTCAATTCAATAAATTCTTACTAAGCTGTAATATGCTATATAATATGGAACAAGACACAAGTCAATGAACAACCTAGGATAATGTAAGTCTCATCAGTCCTCAGATAAGATACTCAGATTTTGTGTGTCTCAGTATGCATGTTAAAAATATCCATATCCATTTACACTGGAAAAGGTAGAGGCAATAAAAACGAGATATATGCTATCAGTATTCTGTATTGCTAGGAATTCATGAGTACAAAATATATTCAAATGAGTTTTGACTACCACAAATGCAACAGCAGAAAACACCTCTTTTAAAAAATTGATCCCTAAGTGCAAGAACTTATGGTAGAATATGTAAATGTCATCTGTTGCACAACTTCACTGGGAAAATCCAGTTGTTTGCTAATCTCTGGAGCCCTGTTTGAGAATAGACTGCAAGCCATATTTTATATTACAAACAACTATTCTGGAATGCTATGAATTTTCCAACTTTTCATACTCCTTGCTCTACATCTTTACTTTTTCATGTAGGCATTAGTGGAACTTTTAAAAAGGAGAGTGGTGTTCAACTGGTACATGTGTTGAAGTGTTCATTTGTCTGGAGAGCTGACCTGGAGCTTTCATTAGGTTCTTAAAGATTCTCAGCAATCCTCTGTCAAGTGCCCCCTTCCAAGTGGTTAAGAGCCACTAGTCTAGACCAAGGGCAAGGCCACCATTACCTTCTACTGGAGCAGATGGGTGTTGAATGCTATGGGAATGTCAGTTCTTGGGGTGGAGGAAGATCACATAGAAAGCTCAAGGGAGAAACTGGCCAAAATAACTAATGGCTTTGTACATCACCTAATGTGTCACATAGCAGTGTCTGTTTTCCTGTTAGGGCAATTTTCCATGCTTTGTAAATATCCTCCCTACAACTGTTTGAAAAATAATTATATAATTCCATTATATTTTAAACTGGAAAAAAAAAAAAGAATTTGGCAAAATCATAACTGTAACAATTCAACATCTCCTAGGGGTAAGGAGTAAGTAGTTTGACAACTACTTATTCACATGTATTTCCAATGAACACTTATGTGTCCTATCAGGAAACATTTGACAATTAAATCAACTGAACACTAAAGCAGTTTTAGGTAGAGTTGTGGAATTTCATTCATGGTAAAGCTGCTAAAACCAAGAAGCATTCCTGTTGCCTACAGTTTTTCATTAACACGTCATTGTTTACATTCTCAAATGCCATCACTATGATGACTATGATGTTACCTAAAATAAAATAATGTACTCTTGCTAACATAAAAACCAGAGTCTAAAATTAACCATTTTGAATATACTTAATGCCTCAGCAAGATCAAATTAAGAAATAGATTTTATCTAGTCTTTTCTATCAAATTCCAACATTTACATCAAAATGAAGGAAAAAAAGTGCTTAAAGGAAAAATCAAGGAAAACCCAAAAAAGCTTTTCCAGTGAATCACTGGTGTTGGAGGATTTAAGGTTCACGGTTTTCTCTACTATTGAATAAACCCACAGGTCTATAAAATGTTAATAATTTACAATGAGAACAGTGGCAGCCACAATAAAAACAACCAACTCCTACTAATTTATTTACCTGTTTGTGTGATTACTACAAACAGGGATTGTGCCAAGCACTTTATAAACTGAATTATTAAAACTCAAACAAATAATCTCATTTGATTCTCACAACCACCCTGTGTGGCAGATGTTGATGCCACCTCCATTTTGCAGATGAGAAAGCAGAGACTTGGAGGAGACAACAATTTGTCTATGGCCCCCCTATTTGTAAGAGGGGCTTGGACTGGAATCCTGATGGCCAATCCAAGCGCCTGTGTTCTGTTTGCTATAACTTACTATACTAAAACACCGCACAAAGAAAGGAATATCAAATGAGATCATGTAAGTAAGTAAAATGTCTACCGTGAATCTAAATTGAGAAAAGGTTCTCTTAGTCAAACAATGAAGTCAGCTAGCTGGACAGCCCAAACACTAAATCTTAATTACTGGGATTTGTGATGTTTGGGGATTCTCAAAGATCGATAAAGTATCCCTTGTGGGTATGAATGGGCAGGCATATTCTATTCAAAGTTATAATGCTGCTTATTAATGTAAATCAAAGACAAATGTAATACAGAAATAGTACACAAAGGGAAAATGCAAAATATTTCACTTCTTTTGCTCTGTTCTTACTCTTTTCCCCAAATGTTTAACTCTGTTCATACACATCTGTCAAATTTTTCCTCTTCTGTTTTCAAGCTACTTCACCATGGAGTTCATTAGCTGCTGGTGAACCCACAAAGGTAACAGAACTAATAAGGTTGAATCTTTAAAACCCAAACAAAAAAAATCCTTCCCGGTCTATAAAATATTAAACTCTTAATACACCCTAAAGAGCTACTTATTCAAATGCAAAACTATGCATGGACTGAAGACGAAAATGTCAGATTTTACTACAAATGTGTCAGACATTTGACATACCTTTGCTAACATGGCAAGGTGCTGATTCTGAACAATGGCAGTACGATAAGTTGCTAATCCTCCTTCTTCCAGACTAGGAAACAAATAGTACAAATGGACACTGCAAAAAAAAAAAAAAAAAAGGCATATAAATAAATATGCATCACAACATTCTGTCTGTAGCTCCAAGTCATAAAAATAGGTCTGGCACACAGTATCTGCACAATAGATACCAGCTGAATTGAACTAAACTGAAGGGTTTGATTAAAAGTCTTTGAAAGGTAACTAGTAAGCACCATGTATCTGAATGTGCTAACACCCAAACAACACCATTCACTCCTGTTAAAAGACTGCTCTAGCAAATCTGGCGACAAAGACCTGAAGGGCTGGTCACGTACTGCTGAGAGCAAACCGATGTGACACTCAGAAATCGGGCCTGGAAACAAACATCTTTGCTTGGGCTGCGTTATGATTGGCCTCTGAAGAGAAGCCTGGGCGGGACAGCAGCGGTAGCGTGTCCCTGACAGGTGTGACAGGGACAGGAGCAGAACAGAGTGGCACACGTGGTTGCGTGTGCCCTGACGAAAGCCAAACGGGTTGATGAGGAAAGTGCACAGATGTGGAGGAAGGCCCCATGGAAAGCCAGTTCAGACCATGACCGAAACTGTCTCTTCTAAATCGCAGACCAGTTTTTTAAGATCCACTGTTGATCAGGGCAGCTAAGCTTATTTAGTCCTATTGTGTCCAGCGAGGACAGGCTTGCAGAGCCGCCCCTCTGCCTCATTATGTCCTTCCTGGGAAAAGAAATGACCCAGAGAGAATACAATAGCTCAAGACTGCTCCCAGAGAAGCATGCATTGTCTCCCTTTAAAAGAGAAACGATGTGGGTATGAAAACACAAAATGCACTTTCCTACCCTTATCACCAAATTAAGGACACGAAAACACTTCTGGGGAGAAAACACATATAAATGCATACATACACACACCAAAATCTCGTCATTAAAATTACTTGTAAGTTTTACTTCCCTTGAGATTGGAAAGAGTGAGAAATGGATCAAAGACAAATCCTAGAAAATGAAATGACATTTTAAAATATCATCCCTTTCTCTACAAACTGAATATAAGCTCTGAAGCATCTAGACCAAGACAAGCTGATCTCTTGTGGCTGTGGCAACTTGAACATAAACTTGACAGGACAAAGACAGTAGCCTTTCATCTTGTAATCTTGTGCATTACTGTGTCAGTGAGTACAAGTGATCAGGGCAAAAGCCAAGACATGTGGCTTTCAAGCTCTACAGAAGGGACAAAAATGGTGTTTCAATGCCTTATTTAGCTAATTTAGGTAATATAGTAAGTATGTTACCTATAAAATGTAATTATTGGGGGACAGCAGAAAAACCTCCTTACCTGGTCAGAAATTCAACAACAGCATCCCCTAGGAACTCCAACCTTTCATTGTGATTAATCCTATAGGAGAATTAAAACGATCACTTAAAATAGGAAACATTTACATTCCTTCCATCTCTTCTCAAAGAAAAGACACGTAAGAGTTAGCTCCTTTTGTAATTGAAACATCCCACCTGATTCCTCACACTCAAAAGCACTGACCGCCATCTTAGCTGGAGTATGAGACACCTACTGGGGAAGGGAGGGGGCATTCTATCCTACTATGTGGTTCAGGCCTTCCGACCTGGGGGCTTCCTTCCCCTGAGAATTAGATTTAAAGTGAGGAGCTATCACCCTAACAACTGAATCTTTCCACACTGCTATCAGGTAGGTGAGAGAAAGGAGAATGTACTCTAATGAGTTAGAACTGAACACTGAAAAATCCGTTTGGTACAACGTTCCATTGCCCAAACTCTAAACTTAGCTTCTAAAGTCCTTCAAAAAAGGCCTAATCAGGGCACCTGGGTGGCTCAGTTGGTTAAGCGACTGTCTTCGGCTCAGGTCATGATCCTGGAGTCCCTGGATCGAGTCCAGCATCGGGCTCCCTGCTCAGCGGGGAGTCTGCTTCTCCCTCTGACCCTCTCCCTTCTCATGTGCTTTCTCTCTCTCTCAAATAAATAAATAAAATCTTAAAAAAAAAAAAAAAAGAGGCCTAATCTACTTTTTCACGTCCCAGTAACCACTGCTATCCTCTCCCACCTATGTTTTGGGCTCTTGTCCCAAAACTGCATGGTACTCTCTGAAAAGGGCATCCGCCCTGAAGCTTTCCACCATCTTCCCTGTGCACAGAGCCACACAAACCTACGCATCCCTCAAGGTCTAGTGAAATGTTCCTTCTCTACGAATCCCTTCCGGATTCCTCTCATCAAAATTAGTACCTCCCCCTCAGGGCCTATCACACTTTATTTATACCTTCATTGTATGAGGAAGGCACATCTCAGAGGCTAAGTTCCTCACATCCAAGTAGAAGGGTGAAGGACCAGGAAGGTGGTCCACAAATAACTTCCCTCGGCCTCTCAGAAAGTCTGGCACAGCCAGTTTCCCTCGGGGCTCCAGGAGATCACTATCTCTGGCTGGGCAGAGATGTGATATGATCTGGTTTAGGTTTTTAAAGGGCCACCCTGGTTGCTATGCAAAGAATGTGTGAGGGAAGACAAGCACTGAGGAGGGTGCCGTGGCTCTCTGGGGAGACATGCCTGAGGCTCGGGCTGGGGAGGCGATGATGGAGGAGGGGAGAAAAGAAAGAATGAAGGTCAATGACTGGATTTTGGCTTCCATAGTTGGGTGAAAGGCGGTGGTGCCATTTACTGTGAGGGGAAGACCAAAAGTGGAAAGGGTTGGGCAGAGGCAGGAGTTGCATTTTATTTATTTTTTTTAAATTTTTTTAAAAAGATTGTATTTATTTATTTGACAGAGAAAGACACAGCGAGAGAGGGAACACAAGCGGGGGGAATGGGAGAGGGGGAAGCAAGCTCCCCGTGGAGCAGGGAGCCCGATGCGGGGCTCAATCCCAGGACCCTGAGATCATGACCTGAGCCGAAGGCAAATGCTTAACAAGTGAGCCACCCGGGCGCCCAGGGGTTGCATTTTAGGCATGTTCACTTTGAAATGTCCACAAAACAACCAAATGGAGAAATCCAGTATATATTATTAACCCGCTGTTCGTGGGCAAGAACAAAGCTGATAAAAATTCTTTAGGAGTGGTCAATGTTTAGACAGGATTTCGGGTGATGGAACTGGATGATACTACCTAGGGAGAGAATGCAGCTAGAGAAGAGGGGTCCCAGGACTGAGCCCAGAGGAGGGTCACACTTGAGGTCAAGCAGAAGGGAAACCAGCAAAGGAAAGAGCACTGGCGGGGGGGTGGGGGGTTGCAGAAAAGGAGGCAAGCGTCAAGAAAGAGACAGACTCAAGTAAGATGCAGAGACAGCACTGATGCAGCAGTGCTGAGGACACTGCTGAGGCCACTGGGGGCCAGCTCTGTGAAGTGAAGACACTCCTGATTCTGGTCAGAGCAGGCTGCAAAGTGACGTGTGTCTGAGGCTGCATATGGGAAGAACCCGAGTACCTGTTTCAGGGCCAATGGGGGCCGGGGGATTATAACAGGAGGAAACCAGAAAGGACGGTGACAAAAGTGACAGGGAAAGGAGAGCACACTGAGCCCCTGGGACCTACGCAAAGAAGGCAAGGGACAGGCCTGGGACTAAGCCGGATCTCACCTGACTCCAGAGACTTCTTTAAATATCTCTGACACTGACCCTCATCTTCTCCAAAAATTCAATAGCTGACTATCAAGTCCAAACCTGCCTGGTTTTCAAGGCCGTTCTTTATCTAGTTCCACGGTAGTCACCCATTTCGTCTACTTTCTTTTTTTTTTTTTCTTTAAAGATTTTATTTATTTGACAGAGAGAGAGAGAGCACAAGCAGGGGGAGCAACAGAGGCAGAGGGAGAAGCAGACTCCCCGCTGAGCAAGGAGCCCAGTGCGGACTCGATCCCAGGACCGTGGGATCATGACCTGTGCCGAAGCAGACGCTCAACCAGCTGAGCCACCCAGGTGCCCCTCATCTATTTTCAACAGCCATTTACAACTCTCAGTTGACCAACCTCTGCACTGTACCAGACACACCACTGCTTGTCCCTTCTATGCTACCTCTCCCAAATCCTGCTCATTCTTATGTCAGCTGGCAACCTGCCCTAACTGCTGGAGCCCCCAGCGATGCTGGCACAACCCCACACCTGCATCCCCATCCCCACATGATTTAAATGTTTACCACTCAATTTATTCAAAATTATATACCATCTTCTAGTGTTCTCTGATTCTTGTGTGCCATATTTAAAGTGACCTTATGGTTTCAGTATATGCAGAAAACAAAAAAATATTTATTTCCAAATTAAATGACTCTTGGATACCCAATTATGTACTTGGTAATTTGAGTTCAATTTTATATTATCTCACATATCTCATAAGTTAATTCTTTCACCCTAACATTCCTCCACGGCTTAGAATTTTAAATGAAAACAAATGTAGTAGGAGAAAACTAACTAGAAAGATCTGAGCAACAAAGATGTGATTCTGAACACTCATTTCAATATATGGCCTTTATTTATGTGAAAAAGGCATTCTGGAAAGCAGTTAATGGCAAATAACGGAAAATGAACAAAAGAAAGAGTGTACAATTTTTGGCTGTGGTGAAGAATTCATAATCTAATAGCTTACAGAGAGAGAGAGAGAGAGAGAGAGAAAGAAATTAGGTCCTCAAACATATTTTTCTTAGTCTTCCCTAATTTATATTAGATTTTAAAAGATTTTTTGTTGCTACTCCATTAGCCAAGAGTGACTAAATGGTATATATTTTTAAAAAATTTATTTATTTTTGAGAGAGAGCACAGTGCGGGGGGTGGGGGAAGAAACCAAGAGAGACTCTCAAGCAGACTCCCCACTGAGTGCGGAGCCTGACACAGGCCTCGATCCCAGGACCCTGACATCACAACCTAAGCCGAAATCAAGAGCTGTTCAACCGACTGTGCCATCCAGACACCCCTGACTAAACATTATATTTAAAAAATATATCGTTTAGAAGTTACTCAATACTGCATTTCGCTTTTTGTCAAATACAGCAGAACTCCAATAAAAGTGTCTGTCATCGTTCTTGGAGAACGCATCAAGAAACAGAGGCCCTGGTTAACACGGTAAAACGTTAATCCCTCAGATTTCTTGCCAAGTTAATTTCGTGAAACCTAATAAGTTGTTGTCCTGAGAGACGGTGGGAACAAAGAAAAGAAATAGTGAGGTTTTTGTTTTTGTTTAAAGATTTTATTTATTTGAGAGAAAGATAGTACAAGTGGGGGAGGGGCGGAGGGAGAGGAAGAAGCAGGCTCCCCGTCCAGCGGGGACACGGGGCTCAATCCCAGGACCCTGAGATCATGGCCTGAGCCGAAGGCAGACGCTTAACTGACTGAGCCACCCAAGCGCCCCGAAATGGTGAGTTTTTAAAAAGAAAGAAATTAGAATTACCCTATTCTTTTCCAAAAGTCAGGAAAATGAAAATAGTATTTTCTGTGGTAGAGACTTTATTTTCTTCCCAACAGTTCAAAGTACCGTACAGGAAAATCTACTTAACATGGAAAGCCAGAAACTGCACCTGGGGTGGGGACAAACCATATTTGGATTGTCTTATGCTTTATTAAAAAATAAGACATCTCATCAAAGAATAATAGCTGCTTTGAGTCATATACTATTTGAATGAACTCATACTGGCATAAGTTTTACTTTGTTTTATAAACTTTCAGGGAGACAAGAACTATGTCTAGGATTTTATAACCACAAAGTTAGACTATTATTCAGTATGTTAAAATACAAGGTCACAGTTCCAAACAGGTTTATTCAATAGTGAGTCTGCCATCCACTAAATGATCTGCCCATATCCAGCGTATGTTTTCCTGTATCTACACTGTGACTAAACCCTGGCAATAAGCCACAAACAAAAATGGGGATGAAATACCACTTCAGTTTATTATTATACTGGACAATTCCTAATCCAGTGGTTTATCTGGAAAAAATGGACAGAGTGAGCTGCTAGTCACTGTTGAGTGCAGCAGCAAAGCTTTTGTTCCTTCTTCTATTGTTTCTACATTCTTTAATCACCCTCTTTATAAATACTAGCAAGCTCCAAGAGGAAATGTTTACTGAGCAATAAACACTCCATTTGTTTTTGAGAACTGAATCAACAGAGGCATTATGAAATCTAGATTAACTATAACATTTATATAGCACATTTGGTCTGAGGAATTCAAAGCACTTTATAAAACCTAACAGTCTCCCTGTAACAGTAATTACTGTAAGGTTTCCTTTACTCCATGGAAAACCATCTTGGGATGGGTCAAGTCCAAGGGTAACTACCACGAAGAGGGTATGGACATTTTCTCACCTTTCCATTCCAGGCTTCAACCAGTGACAGGTGGAGTAAAGCTAGAAGGGGTGCTGGAGATCAGCTGAACCTTCCACCCAGTTCAGGAATTC